GAGTTTCAAATGAAGGAGCACATTAAAAATAATGAAGAATTGAAAGAAAGCTTGGAAATGAAAAAAAAAGAATGTTACACGGTAAAAATGACTTCCTTTTTAGTACATATAGTAATAAAAAAGAATAGTAACATAAAATTGAAGTAAATAACGAATTTGGATAATTATAAATAAATAGTATTAAGGGCATTAATTATGCCTAATTGAGTTTTTACCGTAAATAAACTCGCATTATTAATTGAGGGGTACTGCAACGTAGGCTGCTAGATTTAATTGGGGTTTTGTTTATTTTCCTAAAAATAAAAAAAGTACTGTCTATATTTTATGTATGATTCACATAATTTGTAAGAACTTTTATAAAAGAATGTAGATGCTTCTAGAGTTGTGAGTAACTATATTTCTCATATTTTGGATGACTAAATTAGTATCTTACGTGAGAAATCGAGAGCAACAATAATTATATTCTTACTTTTCAAGTAGTGAAAGTTCATTACAATATGGGTCTCTCGTTCGAGAAATAAAATTGAAAGCTTTTTAAATGTTTCCAAGTGTTCTAAATTCTTTATTCATATTGAAATGTCCTAATAAAATACATAAGTCTTTGAAAGGTTAACAACAAATCAAGAAAAAGAAAGAAGAAGAGATCAACATAAATAATATAATAGCAAAAAAAAAGATTACAAATACACCTTCGGACCTTAAATTTTTTGGAAAAAATTTAGCATTCGTACCTTAACTTTCTTGGAAAAAATTTAGCACAATGTTCCCCTTCATTCTTGTCACAAGAAAATGCAAGCTCCTACAATTCAAAGTTAAAATAATAACAAATCAAGAAAGAAAAAAAAAAGAGAGAATAAATAATAGTATAATAACAAAAGAAAAAAAAGATTACAAATACACCTTTGAACCTAAATGTTCTTGGAAAAATTTAGCACAACATTCCTCTCATTCTTGGCATACGAAAATCCAAGCTCCTACAACTCAAAAAACAAATCAAGAATAATTAAAAAGAATAAACATGTAAATGAGGTTTTGACAGAAATGAGAAAATATATTTATATATGAGAATTCTATGAAAATATAAAAATGAAGGGAAGGTAAAAAGATTTTGTAACTGATTTGAAATTATAATGCTTAATTGGTAAAACTCATTTAATAGAAAATAAATGTGATTGAAATTTGTCATAATTTAAGATTGATTTAAAATTGAAGAAGTGTTTTTTTTTTTTTTTAATAAATAAAAGAAATACAACAGAAGAAAAAGGAAGGGCCGTAGGAATTAATAGTATTAATGAAGATATTAAAAAAGAAAATATCTTTAATGTTCTGTAATTTTAACGGCAATAAATTAAATGAGATTAATTGATATGAAAAATAATGGAAGAAAGAACACATTTATGTTAATAAGGAGTAAAGATAATTAAAATTTTTATCTAAATAAAATATATATACACATAATATTATTGTGTAAAAATAGAAAAAAGGCCCTAAATTCTAAGAAAATAGATAAATATTTTTTTTTGCTCATTGAGGCATGCCACATCAACGGGCTGAAGATCCTCCTTTATATATATATATTGATTGATTGAGGGATATTTATGTGATGACACATTAAAGATATTACTAGTAATAAATATATAAATGTATATATTTTTTAATGGATAAAAACAAAGATAATGTTATGATAGAAAGGTAAGACAATTCAGATCCAAATATCACCTGAAATTGGAATTATCTTTTGTAGTAATCACATGTAGTTCCCTGCTAGTATATATTATCTTTCCTTTTTTATTTTTTATTTTAAAATTGATATAAAAACTCGTTTATGGGTTATATTGGGATGATTAAATTTTGAATTCCAAATTAAAAACATCACTTTTTTCCTTCAAAATATATAAAGGGCCATTCAATTTTGGTTTAATCAAAAGGGACACTTTGCTAGAGAAGGAGCGAGATATGTTTGTGCTATAACTACCGTTAACGGCATAAAAAAATTGATCAGCATGAGCGATTTTCTCTTTTATTGTATCTTTAATTTCTCTCGCTACTTATGAGCGATTTGCTCTCTATTTTTTCCACACCAAACGAGTTTGCAAGTTTTTTTTTTGTTATTCTCGCTGCACACTTAGCGAGTTCTCAACTTCTTTTATTATATGTTCTCATAGTAACCCCGTCACTAATTTTCATTTAGATAACAATAAAACCATTCTAATAATATAGAAAACATTTTTATTTATTAATATTTTTTTATAAATTGAAGTAGGATAAATATTTTTTAATGAAAAAAAGTCATTATTAGGAAAAGAACGTGTTTTTAAAAAAGAGAAATAATATATTTAATTGAAAAAAGACGGTTTTGACTTATTAAGTAACAATAAAAGCATTTAGATCAAATTATTGGAGGCAATGATATTTTTGAATCAAACTATTAACTGAGGATATTTTTGTTTATTTTACATAATTTAAGAACATTTTAAACTTTGTTCCGTTAATTAGGTCAACGCAAAATCCAAAAAAAAAGTTCTCTCCCAACACATGTTTCCAAAAACAGTAAGAAATTAAACATTGAAAAAACAAAACATAAGAAAAAACAGAATGTTGAAATAATCCAAGTTGATTGACGCTTGGAGAAGCCAAGTTGATGAAGGTGAATGTCTTCAAGTGACAACTTCTTCTTTGTTGATTTAACTCAAATAATATTTATATGGAGAAGGGCCTAAAATGCCCCTCAAGTATTTAAATTGGTACAAAATTATCCTCCATCCATCTATCGGTCCTAAAATATCCATGACGTCCACCTTTCAGCTCAAAAATACCCTTATGTCTAACGGATCACACTCATTAGGTGGATGGAGGGTAATATTACACTGAATTTCATAGTTTAAGGGCATTAGGCCCTTTTCCGTTAAAATAATTTGAAATTACTTAATATATAAGCTCACGTGACTGACTTGATTTTGAATTTCATAGTAAATTTAAAATTATAAAAAGGTTAGGCATCTATTCTCTAAACTACTCCCTCCCCGGCCTTCACTTCCTATCGCTTTTTTTTTTTTTTTTTTCTATTTGGATCTTGTCCACAGTTTTAATTTTTTTTAAAAATTTATGACAAACAAGAGAGAAAAAAAGGAGGAAAATAATGATACATTCATATAGAAATAATTAGTTCAATAAAAGATGACTTAATCAAGCAAATATGTATAATATTACATTTTTTGTGTGTACCCAAAATTAAAAAGAAAAGAATAAAAACAATCATTTCTTTTATCCCCACCCTCATCCCATCATGATAATAATACTAATTTAAAGAATATAAATATGTGAGTTCATTTCAAGTTTGAGTCCCAAATATCCTAATTAAGATTAAGAGATTAAAAAAAGAAATAAAAGAGAAAATGAACAAGACATTTGGATAATTGAGAGAAAAATTTATATTAATGAGAATAATAATATTTTTAGATGGACAATGAGTCGGGTTAAGTATCCTCATTTATGAGTTGGGTTACACTATAATAAATTGGAGTTGATTTAAAATAGGGCAATAGGAAGATATCATGAAATTAATTTTTCAATTTTATTTTCAAGTGTATCAGGTCAAAATATGAATCATAAGTGGTTTTATAGAAAAATAGAATTTTTTAAAATATCATTTTTGTTATTTATTTGAGAAGTGTTTAAATTTAGACCAATCACATTAAGCAATATAATAAATAAATATTTAATAATTTTACTTTTAGGGATCTATTAAAAATAAGGGCAAATATGAGCGAAAGGATTAACAACGAGGGTATTTTTTAGTCGAAAAGTGGACGTCAGGGGTATTTTAGGGCCGATAGGTGGATGGAGGGTAGTTTTGTACCAATTCAAATACTCGAGGGGCATTTTAGACCCTTCTCTATTATTTATATAAAAGAGGAAAAAGGGTAAAAAAAATGCTCTTAAATTATGTGAAAGGAACAAAAATGTCTTCCGTTCATAGTTTGGCTCAAAAATGACCTTACCATCAATACTTTGGTTAAAAAATGCCCTTAAATTATGCGAAAGGAACAAAAGTACCCATCGATTGTAGTTTGATCCAAAAATACCCTTGTTGTCAATACTTTGGTCCAGAAATGCCCTTATTGTTATTTAATGGGTCAAAATACTCATTTTCCAAATAAATATATATTTCTAATAATTTTTTTAAAAAATTAGCAAATGCTTATCTTACTTCAATTCTGAAAAAAATAAAAAATGAAAATATTTCTTATTTTATTAGCATTATTTTTTTATCGTTATATAAATATAAATTAATGATGGATTTACTATGATCTTATGTATATGACATATATTATCCATTGAAAGGGTACATGAAGTTATTCTATTTTAATTGATAAAATGAGATTAAGAAGAAAACAAAATATTTCCTACACTTTTATTTGTTAAAGTGATTTTAGAAGAAAGAAAACAAGAATAGTGTTCTTTAATAACATTTTAATTAGGAAGAAGATATGTTTAATAAGAAAAAAATAATATATTTATTCGAAAAGGGAATTTTGTAACTATATGGGCAATTTTGGACCAAAATATTGACTGTACGGACATTTTTGAACCAAAATATTGACAGTAAAAGCATTTTTAAATCAAACTATAAATGGAAGGCATTTTTGTTCCTTTCACATAGTTTAAGGGTATTTTTAATCATTTTCACTAGAAAGAGGAACAAAAAAAAAGCTAAATTGTGGACAAGAGAGAGTACCATATACTATTTTTAATTTCATTTTAACATATAAAGCGTTGTCTTAAATGTGGACAAGTAAGAGAACAGTAGACAATTAATTAAAACATCACAAAATCATTTTTGGCAAAAACAATTATGTTCAAACCAATTACACTCACGCAAAAAGCTTTAAACAATAAGAAATCAAACACTAAAACCACTCAATTAATAACCAATGTGCTTGGCATTAATACCTCTACGATTATGAAGACATCATATATATATATATATATATATATACACACAACATATAATTCCGGTTCAACTGCTCCACGTTTTTCATTCTCTCAGGAATCTCCTTTAAATTTGGACAGTCATAGATATCAAGACCTTTAATCAGAGGCATGGCACTTGTGCCTAAATGCCATCTTTCTAGCTTCTCAAGATCACGAAGATGAAGGAACTCTAGTTGACTGAAGCTGTTATCACTGCACATTATTTCTTTTCCTTCATAAGCACTAAACAATTGGAGATTCCTTAAGTTTGGCAACATTCCCAAAATAGGCATCGGATCTTCTGTCAGTGTTGAGTTCCAAAGAGCTATCATTGTGATGGAATTTGGGAACAGATGAGGCAGTTTCTCTATTCTCCCACTTAACCACAATGTCTGGAGCTTTTCACAACAATTAACAAATTCAAGGTCTGGGAATGATTCCTCAATACAACCAAACAATGCGAGAGTGCTAAGGTTTTTCAAGCTGCTAATGTTGTTTAGGGAGTAAGATTTGCTAATACCATTCATCCTTAATTCTCGAAGATTGACTAAATCAACAGGGTCAACATCTTTCCACTGATCACAACAGATGCCATCAACAACTTGAAGACTGGTGAGTTTGTTTATATGTACCAGAGGTTTTGAATCGTACCGAGCAACTAAATGTCTTAAATTTATCAAGTCAGCTATCTTTTGGGGTAGTTGGCAAGTGTATCCACCCGTATCAACAACAAGTGTCTGTAGATTCTTGAGGTTGCCAATGGAAGAAGGAAGGTCATCCATACCTCTCAAGCTTAAGAACTTGAGATGGTACAAACTTCCTATGTCATCAGGTACACTACACCTAACACCCATACCAAAGTATAACACATATAGATGTTGGAACACACTCCTGAAGTTTTTAAGACTCATCTTAAGAAAATATGGATCGAAGAACATAATTGACCTCAACTTTAAGTTAGAAAGATCAAGTGAGAGGTAGCTTTCTCCTTCACTATGAATCACATGTCTGATACATAAAGAGGATATGGAGTGGCTTCTTGGATCATAAATGTCAAAGAAGTTTACCTCCAATGCCTTTTGTATCGCAAGATCACGGAGTAAATCATGAACCCTACATTCAGGAACTCTTTCCCAAAATGTTTTAGCCACTTGAACCAAGCTTCGTCTTATCAGCTCATTCAAGAAGCCTTCAGCGACATCCTCCATTCTTTCTTCTCCTCTGGGTATGAAACCCTCGGCCATCCACAACCATATTATGTTATCAGCCCTGACCACTTGATCTTCTGGAAAAATACCAAAGTAGAGAAAACACTGCTTGAGCGCAGTTGACAAATCATTGTAGCTTAAGGATAGTATATTGGAGATTTCAATAGATTTATCTTCTTTAATGTTCTTCCAAAGGTGATCTTTCACCATTTGCCATTCGTTTAGCCCCTTTTTATGTGAAAGTAGTCCGCTCAATACAACAATTGCAAGAGGTAAGCCTCCACACTTTTCCACCATATCCTTAGCTAGACTTTCCATTTCTGGAACCATTGCTCGAACATCAAGTAGTTTCCTACAAAAGAGATCCCAACTTTCTTCTTGACTTAGGAAACGAAGCTTATGAACAAAACCTCTGTCGTCTGCTCTTTCAGCGACATCCTCTTTGCGCGTGGTAATAATGACTCTGCTGCCCTTCTTGCCATCCGGGAATGCTCTTTTCAAACTCTCCCATGCTTCTCTCTGCCATACATCATCAACCACCACTAGGAATTTGCGATCTTTCAATAGATCACGAAGGTAAATTTCTAGATCTCTTTCTGTCATCCTTTCCAACAAATCTAGAGTTTCCTTAGTGCAACCTTGGATGGATTTTATGATATTCCTAAGAAGATCCATTGTGTTGTACTCTTGAGAGACACATATCCAAGCGCGTGTAGGGAAGCTATTGAGTATATCAGGACTGGTGTAGAGGTTTCTTGCAAGAGTGGTCTTGCCTAATCCGCCCATGCCATAAATGGAGAGGACGGTTCGACGAGCCTCTGCTTTGAGAAGTTGAGCTAGCAATGTTTGTACAACATCCTGAAGTCCAACAAAAATGTAATCCTGGTCATCCACATATGAGGTAGTTCTCCTCAATGTTGCAACCTGATTACTTGGCCCTTCTCCTGCATTATGATTGATATTTGTGATACCATAAGTCTCTCGTTTGCGAGAGATATCCATGATTCGTTGCTTGAGTGATTGAATCTCCTCGGCGACATTGTAGAATTTCTTCTCCTTCCTACATATGCAAGCGCAAGCCTTGATACGACTAGCACGTTTACCAGCCTCAAAGCTATAAGTCTCAAGTATAGCAACAGCATCATTAGCAATAGAGTTGATCTCAAACACCCATTGTTGAATTCTATGATCTCCACTTTGCTTTAGTTCTGCATCTTTGAGGAAAGACTGTATGAAGAGTAGCTCATTTCTCAGCCACTCAATTTCCTTTCTCAGATTTTTACGCAGGGAAACTTGTTGTATGAGGAAATCACCCAAATTTTGAACTGCAAATGACAGAAAGGCATCAACCATCTTTAGGAATAACTAGTTTTGATTGAAAAAAAGAGGAGGCTGTATATTGGAAAATGGGTGATAGAAATAAAAGTAAGACCTCAAATAATGTGTACAATTAAGGGTCCACTTATCACTTATGTGGTTTCTGAATAAAGTATTGCGATTGGATAAACGGACAAAGATGTATTAAAGCATCTTCAACAACCATTTTACAACTTGAGGAAAAACACATATAGAGAAAAGTCTTAAAAAAATAGAGAAACTTCAACAACCATTGCACAACTTGTGGAAAATATATATTGAGAAAATTGAAGCATCTTCAACAAGCATTACACAACTTGTGGAAAAAAAATATTTGTTTTTATTTGTTCATAATAATAATTTTATTTTTTTCTATTTGCTTGTTACAATGAAATAATTTAGGATTCATTAAATTGGTTACAATTGTCCGCAATTTTAATTGTGCATATTACATCATATTAATCTAAATTTGATGGAGCGATATTATTTTTAAAAAAATCTAAATGTACCAAATCAATTTTAACAACTCAAGTTTCAACTGATTTGGAAGAACGAGCTAATTAGTCAAAAAAAGTATCGATGAAAATTTTGGAGGCCTACAACAAAAGCTTCATTGACTTTTCTCTGGAGCCATTTTTATCCTTTAAATGGTGACATAGCTTAGAAAAATCCAGCGTACACTACTGGTTGTGGTAATGGTAGTTAGGGTATTAAATGTTGTTAGCTTATATGTGTCCACCATAGGTCAATGGACTAGGTTCCTTAACAAAGTTAAGAACAATATCGAAAGTAATGCTTAAAGTAAAGGACAATGATGTTTACGTGAAAACCTCCTTGCTCAAGAGATAAATGTTGAGAGAGAAGACTTTTGCATTTCAAAAATCATGTTTGCAAAAACTATGTTATTCCTTATCAAAGTGATCAATATAAGATGGACAAAAACAACCTAGCGTAACTCCATTGGCTGAGAACTTTGCACCTCTTTTTCCTTGTTCACCAATCACCACAGTTGTGGCGGTTTTATTGTTGTTCCATGTTGTCTGTATTGTATGTTTGTCGCTCATGGGATCAGGTACCTCTACCAGATCTCATAGTTTATTAAATCATCATAACTTCATAATATAACAAATACTAACTAGTAATTATGTTTTATAATTTACCCTACATTTTTTATAATAGATTTATCATGCATCCTACTTTTCGTGTAGTCAAAAGATAAAATAGTAACAATTTATTGTTTTTTAAGGGGTGTGTCAAGTCAATAATGGACAATTATTGGTGGACAGAGGGAGTATTTGTCATTTCACAAAATCAATGCATAAATGACATAATCTTCATATTTTATCCTTGAGAGTTATTAGCATTAAAATCATGGATTTGACCAACATAGAAAAACTAAATGATTAATCCACGTTCATTTCTCAGCCATGTAATCATCTCTCAGATTTGTACGTAGGGAAACTTGTTGTATGAGGAAATCACCCAATTTTTGAACTGCAAATGACACAAAGGCATCAGCCATCTTCAGGAATACTAGTTTTGATTGAAAAAAAGAAGAGGCTGCATATTGAAAAAAAAAGCCCATAGGTGGGTCCGTGGAACCATGCTCTTGAAAATTGGTTCTCAGGTCTAAGGTTCACGAGACGACCTAACGGGTCGTAAAAACATCTACGGTCCGGGGAACTATGCTTTTGAAAATCATTAATTTTTTAAAAATGAAATTTATATATTTGTAAACTATGTAAAAAATACTATAAGTCACAATAATTGATAATTCAAAATGTTTAAAAGATGGATGAAAAACATACGGTCAAAGATAGACTTATTTAAATCTCGAAATCTGAAAAGTGTCACATGAAATGAGACAGAGGGAGTTGTTCAAATGAATTTTTGTTTTACTATTAACTAATTTTTCTCATTAGGTTCCTAACTCCGACCAAACAACTCCTAAAAGTTAAGTTCTTTCCCCTCTCATCAAGCGATTTGTCTCTGTCTTCTTGATTTTCACTCTTTCTCTCCACTAGATTCTCAATTTCCTTTTGATATTCTCCTTAAGATTTCCTCTTCTCTTTTATTTTTCATATCTCCATCTTGTTAGAGCATCAAATGACTTTCTTTCATTTGTATTAAAACATATTTTGATACTGAGTGGATCAAATAGTTAATTGATCAATAAGAGATATCATACATATGGATGCCCACTCAGTATCAAAGTGTGTTTTAATATAAAAAAAGAGAGTATCGAAAATACCTCTAAACTTGGAGCAAATTATTAGTTGCATCTTCAAAACTATTGATAACCTTACAAACACACTCTTTTTATTTTGTAACTAAAAGATTTTGTTTACCAAATGAAAAATGTACATCTCAAGAAAAGGAACAAGAACTTTATTTTGTGCAAAATATGCATATTTTATATCCATTTTACTTTATTTTCGTACACAAAATTTTTTATATTGAGAGAAAAGTCTATATATAGGAAGAGGGGGTTGTATATTGGAAAACAAGTTAGAAAATGGGAGATAGAGATATGCACTCACGCATAAATAGTGTGTTCAAAGGGTCTATTTAAGTTTTTAGAAAACGAAACATTTTGAAAAGAGAATTTATGAATAGACAACCATTATCAAAAAGGATAAAGTTGCAACAAGCTAAGTGAAAGATACATTTTTAAAAAAAAAAATGCATTATCTTCTTCACTATTAAATTTTGAATTACTCGACATGATAGGGGTCAAGTCTAACCCTCTACGCCAAAGGAATCACAACCCGAGGTGATGGCTTATAAAAAACAAAAAAATTAAGGACCAATAAGTATCATCACTAGGCAATTGGAGATTGACATCGTTGGTTGAGAATAAAATGAATTTAAAGAAAAATATAGGTTTTAAGTCATCTGTGATCTCTTAAAGTTATTCATAAAATTCACTTTGCTAGACACCTCAATTAAAACTTGAACCACTTAAAAAAAATTGCCCACTTGTTAAAAAGGCAAAGATGTATTAAAGCTTTTTGAAATTTCCCACTGAACAAAAAGTACATTTTTTTTTTAAATTGAAGCAACTTCAACAATCATTATACAACTTGGGGAAAAACATATAAAGAGAAAAGTCTTAAAAAATTATAGCAGCTTCAACAATCATTGCACAACTTGTGGAAAAAGATATATTGATATATAATTGGAATAATGGATAAACTGTTGTACATAGTGTATGTTTATGGGCCATATTGTGTATGTTTGTGGTCCACTTTACTGTAGGAGGCCAACTGCTCCAAGTAACTTTATCCCTATAAAAAGGGAATATACACGGCAATGAGAAAATGACATAGAAAAGGAAAATTACTTTACTTCTTTCTACTACTGTTCTGTCTTCACTTTTCTTTTTTTCTTTTTTCTTTTTTCTTTTATTTTATAACACGTTATCAGCATGAAATTTTAATTTTTTTCAAATATTTCAGGTATAATAAACACATGTCTTATATATTTTTTACATGTTAGTTCTTCCTTATTTATTTATTCATTTATTTTGGTTAAACTAACTTGATGATCTTTATTTGGTATATCTAACTCTATTATTATTTACTAGGTTATATTAGTTTTAGTATGAATACAATTTTCTCTTAACTGCTCTTATAAAATAATAATGTCACCATAATTTATTTCTTGAACGTCCTAAGATACTACATTAAAGTTTTATTTATGGATGTTATTATTATAGCTAAAAAAATTATGTACCTAGCAATAAAAATATTATTTATGTATTTTTATATTGTTAATTTTATTTATGTGTTTCTATATTGTTGACTATGTACCTTAAATTCATATGCTTCTTTCCGTATTTTTTTTTATCAACAATTCCTTTAATATTTACATAGCAATATTCAAGAATTTATGTTAAATAGTGTATGTAAAATTAGTTAAACAGTGACACCAACGAATTACTAAAATTATTAGTGTTTACAATTTTGTCTCATAAGTATGTACTACTAATTGATTAACAATACTTTATGCCACTTTCAAAGAGGTCTTTCAAT